ACCCCCACGTCAAGTTTCTAGTCCTTCTGGCTCCAGGCAAAAAACCCAGCTCCATTGCAGAACTCAAAGGGGGTCAGGATTTGACCCCTCTCCTGCGTCAAAGAATGCATGGCAAGAAGCCGTAGAGATGCAAACGCTTCCAGCCTCAAAAACCAACTTTTCCTAAGAAGAAAAACCAATGTTCTGACCCAACTCCCCCTCTTCAGGGAAATCAGAGATTCCTTTATTAGGAGCGCCGGCAGAAAATTTAATCTCTCACCGCAGGCTAAGAAGTTCGTCTGGGCGGGAGATGAATAGTTGTGTGCCAAAGCTACACTCATCTCCACCCACTGCCTTTGATCCCCAGAGCTAGGGTGGGGCTTTCCGAGCAGCGCTGGCTCTTCTGTCCCAAGGACCAGCCCATAGATTTCCACTGCTCTCCTCTCCTCTGCCTTCTGTCAGGCACTGGGCCCAGCTGCTCCTCCTCTTCCTCATCAGCCACCTCCAGACCTGGGGGCTGTTGACTCTCCATCTGAGGGCTGACGGACAGCCCATAATCTGCCCCCCTCTCTCTCTTTCTGCCAGCTCCATTCCCTCTTCCCCCTCGGAGCAGTCGGGCTGCCTTGTTGCCGATCCTGACTCCCACACTGCCTCCTCCCCTTCCTCTGATTCGGCTGCTGGAGGGACCGTTGGCCAAGAGGCCACAACAACATCCCTGATTTTCTCCCTCTCTCTCTCTCTCCCTCCAGGCTAGCCCCAGCCCCAGCCCGGTGGGCTTTAGCCCTATGACCCCGGGGGCTCCTTCCCCAGGGGGCTACAACCCTCACACCCCAGGCTCTGGGATTGAGCAGAGCTCCAGCGATTGGGTCACCACTGATATCGAGGTCAAAGTGCACGACACGTACATGGACAGCCTTGTGGTGGGGAAGACCGGAGTCATCCGTAGCATGAATGTAAGTGGCGGGACAGCGGGGGCGAACCGGAAGTAGAAAAGGGTTTGGGCCAAGAGTCTAAAGTGGAAACCCCCAAAAGGAGTACATTTAGCAAAGCGGGGGGGGGGGGGGTCCTGTCTTTGAATCTGGTTACTTCTGAGTTGAGGGCTCTCAATTCCACTGCAGACGGCCCTTGACTTACGGGCCCCCATTGAGCCCAAGTGAACTTTGCCACATTTTATGACCGTTCTTGCCTTTGTTAAGTGAATCCCTGTCATTAACTTAATCACACGGTTAGGAAGTGAATCGGCTTCTCCAAGCAGCCAGGTTTTGATCCCATGACGACCGAGATGCGGTCGTAAGTGTGAAAAGCACATCATCGGTCACTTTTCCCGAGTGCCGTTATAACTCTGAATGGTCGCTAAACGAATGGAGGACTACCTGTCATCCAGAAGGACCAATGTAGTGGCAGCCCAGGGGGGATCCCAAGGAAGGGCGGCTGTGTCTTCGCAACTAGCCCTCCCCGGCTCTTCTCCATCCCTACGGCTGCCGTTTCACGTTGATCCAGCAGCCGAGGGGAGGGGATTCTGCTCTCCCCAGAGTTAGGTGAGCTTCCAGCTTTTCACCTGGATGGTTTTCTTCTTTCTTCCCTCCCTCGTTTGCCCTGCTAGGGTGGGATGTGTTCGGTCTACGTCAAGAAATGTGAAAAGGTGGTCAGCATTTCAAGCGAACACCTGGAACCTACCACCCCTACCAAGAATGATAAGGTAGGTCGAAGCTTTCTCCACCAGGCAGCCTTCGGTTGGTCTGTCTGACTGTCTATCATCTATCTAATCCATCCATCCATCCATCCACTATCTATCTATCTATCTATCTATCTATCTATCTATCTATCTATCTATCTATCTATCTATCTTCTACCTAATCCATCCATCTATCCAGTCAACTTTGTCTCTGTCTTTCATCTATCTAATCTAATCCATCCATCCATCCATCCATCCACTCAACTTTGTCTATATCTATCTATCTATCTATCTATCTATCTATCTATCTATCTATCTATCTATCTATCTATCTATCTATCT